TACTGAGATTAAAGCAGCAAACTGGGTAGACAAGGTCCCTGCCCTCAGATAATTTAGACACAAGTTACAATCTAGTGTGGAAAGTGCCGGTGGGGGAGAAGAGGATAAGGGTACCCGTCCTAGCTTGGGAGGGTAAAGGAAGGCCTCACAGAGGAACAACTTTCACTGTAGCAGGAAGAAGATCGGAGGCAATGGGTTTTGATAAAAGTTCCCATAGGATGACTTCTGGTTCCTCTGAAAAGTAGAAGTCAGCCATATCTGCTAGGTGCAGGGAGAAAGAGAAGTTGAGGAACGTAAAGAAGGTTTGAATTGATTTTGAGTGGGATGGGTGAGTTTACTAAAGAATAAATGATGTAAGCTCCATGGTCAGGAAGCTTTACCTGTTTTGATCACCCATATATCCCAAATGCTTAGAACAGTGAGATAGCAGGCACTTAATAAGTGGAATGAACAAATAAATACTTTTCAAGTGTCGGTGGAGCTGGGCATAGTTGTAGACCATGAGTTTATGGTGGCACCAACTTACCTATATGTGTGATTTTTATCCAATAGTGCTGAGTCCTGCCTTCCTAAAGGGCAGTTCTGGCAGAGTTGGGATTTTGACAGGTGGAAATGATGAAAGGAGAATGAGTTGGTGGATGCTGATTAACCATGAAGTCTATCTTGGAGAGGAAGGAAATAAAGGCAAGAGGTTGCTCATGGACCGGAGGAAGTGGAAAGGTCAATCGACTAGACGTCCTGACAAGGTTAAAGAGTTGGAATTTTAGGACAAATCTGGAGGTTGAAGTCAGAGGGTGATACAAGATTGTATTATTTAAGAAGGCAGAGTAGTTCCTGATGATTAGGCTTTAGATTATGGCCATAGCTGAATTGGAACAGAGGTAAAGGAGTCTGAGATGAAAAGGTCTAGGAATTGAGAGTCTAGGTCACTGAATAGTCTGTCCACATGGATGTTTGGGTCTCTCATAGATTCCCCCCACTTCAAGATCTCTGCCCTAGGCCTCATTCAGCCCCTTCCCCAACCTTCAGAGGATCTGCATTCACACTTCAACTTAAGCCTTGGGTGCCAAAAGATCTGGCATGGCTCTGGGCCAGAAAACAAAATGGGGTAATTAGAAAGAGCTGTAGTAGACATCTGTTCTATTTTGTTTTGATGTCAGCATGCATACACCTTTCTGGAAATAGTATGTCTATGTCCTCTGGAGGAATGACCACACCCCCACTTCTTCAGTCTCAGTCCATGTACAGGTGGAGTGTTCTTCCCTCCCTACCCTTATTCCAAGGGTATGTATGTGACCCAGACCTGTCAGAAGCAGCATTCTATTCCCCTGTGAGCAGTTCAATGAGTAGTTCAGTGATGGATACCTGACCATCTGGAAATCATAAGCACAATATTGTCATAGCAACACCACATTGTCAGCTTCACTTGAACCTGCTACCACAGAAAGCCTGAAAATAAAGCCAGCACAGAAGACAGAAAGTTAAGATATGAAAACTGAATCCTGATGACATCAAATTGAATCCCTGCATAAATTCTATTACCTGAAGCCAACCCTACTCCTGGATTGTTCAGATGAGTGAATACATTCCCATTCGTTTACACCACTTAGATTATATTTTCTGTCACCTGTATCCAAATGATTCCTCACAATACAAGGGGATTCTCAATCCCTGACTCTGCCTTCTGGGATATCTATATATCTATGGATATGTAGATATAATAATATTTTATATAGTTAACATATGTTAATTTCTTTGTGCTTCAGTTTCCCCTATGTGAAAGAATATAACAATACCTACCTCAAAGAGTTCTAAGATTAAAAACAACACTGAGGCACAAGAAACATCACATTACTTAATTTTTCTAAATTAAATTAAACCTGGTTTGAATCTTTCATCTATCAAGGTTGGAAGACGTATTAATCATGATTGGAGGACTTTTTCCCTCTTTGGCATAGTATACATTGACAACAACAACAAACAAACAAACAAAAAACCCTTGGGTCTTGAGTCTGTCATGGTTGCCACTGGAACACACATTGTCTAATCCCATACAGTCCATTAAAAAGCAAGTGTCTCCACAGCCTCTCTGCCAAGTGTATATATCAGCATCTGCTGCTGCAGTTCCCAAGACTATGTACTAGATGTTTGGTGCCCTAACCATTAAATCAGCTCTCCCCATCAGAAGTCCTGTTGCCTCCTAATGGACTTCTGTCACTCATGGAACCTATTGCAACATCTCTTTTCTCAAGTCCCTGGACCCACTGCTATCCTTGGGCAACTCCCCTTCTTTCAACCCACCACCTCCTCCATTGTTTCCTTCTCAAGAATACCCAGCTAAATTAAATTCTCCTCCCACACAAGAGCCTGGATACGGTTGTAGAACAGTGTATTGCAACTTTAGTTTGGGACTAGAAAACACAAAATCCACTAACTATTCTATGAGACAAGAAACTTTGAATTCCTGGAAGAAAGGAGAGCAAAGTTACCTTTTTATACTATTGGGTGTCTCTTTTGGCAATGACTATGAGATAGCAATTAATAACTTGGTAAGTTATCCTGCCATAAATGTAAATTAACTAGCACAGAAAAGGTATTCAGTACTGCCTTCTCTATTTCCTATAAGAACTCAACTTACTTTCTTCAACCAGAGGTAGCAAACTCAAATACCAGGCAGGTAATAAAATGACTAAAAATAGACAAGTGTAAGAAAACAAAATCATAGGCACAATGATAAACAGGAACTAGCCCTTAGCCTTGGCATTAACAAAGAGAACACGGTGAACTGGAAAGCTCATGGCCACTAAGGGAGCAACTGCTACTTAGCTCCAAATGGCCTTTGTTTTGTGGGAATGAGAGCTCTGTGTTGCCAGATTTTGAGCCAGAAATATTATTTTATGTACAATCTACTAATTTTACAATGTTGGCTACTCATTCAAAAAAATTTTTTAAACACTGCTGGCCATATTGTCTGGGCCAGATGTTACATATCAGTATATATCTTTAAGCCTCTGTATAGTTTCAGATGCTACGTATATACTGCTAGCTGTCAAATTTACATCTCCCCCATAGACTGCTTTCCCAAGCTTCAGGTCCATGTAGCTAACTGTCCTATGCCTAATATCTCCTTGTCACAGGAACTTCAAATGCAAATGTTTAAAATGGAACACATTGCCCCTCATCCTAAATTGGATGCCAAATCTGTGTTACCTATCTCAGTAAAATGGCACTAACATACACACCTAGTTCCCCAAGTCAGGAACCCTGGAGTCATCTTCAACTTCCTCTGTACTTCACCCCATCCCACTGGTAACCAAGTCTAATCTATCATTTAATCCTCAAAGCAACCCTAAGTGGTAAGTAGTGATATTATCTCCATTTTACAGATGAGAAAACTGAGGCACTGAAAGATTAAGTACTTTGAGATTTCACAGGTAGTAAGTGGCAGAGCTGGGATATGAATAAGGCAGTTTGATGCTAGAATCTATGTCCTCAAGCACAATGCCTGAAGATAATTCTGACCTTGGCAATAGAGACAAAAGGGGATCACCCAGGCTTCACTGTATGAAGTATGAGTTGTCTGGTGGGGGGCAATTTTCTGGCCTTAAATTCAGGAAGACTGCTGTTAGGTATGTGGGGGATGGGAGTTCTTTGTTCTGTGATGCAGTGATGACATCAGGGTAAACTGCCACTAGGCTGAGGAAAATGGAATGGCTGCTAGAGGGCCTGCATGGGGCTCAAGAGGACATGAAGCTTCTCTGGGGCCAGCTGACCCATGTCCTGGCCTGCAGACACTGTGGCAACAGCTGCCTCCAGAGTCCAGGGACTCTGGTAACACTATTCTTGTTCATGGTTTGGCAGATCCGGAGGTGGTGGCAGCTTTGGAGATGGCGACAGCTTCAGCCCTGGTACTCTGGGGACAAGATGCAAGGCAAGGTAGGTAACATGGATGTGCAGCTGGGTGATTCACCACATTAGTTCAAGTGAGGAATCACTGACATGGATGTGGGCCCAAGGGAGTGACTATAAGCCCTAAATGTAAGGCTGGGTAAGTGACCACTGACACTAGACTTGAAGCCAGGTTAATGATCACTGACGCAAGATACAGAGCTATGTAAGGGAATGCTGATCTCCAAAAGTGGCTAGGTAATGGCCATTAACACCTGATGCGTAAGTGACTACTGACCATAGATGTGGGCTCCAGTTAGTAACTGTTCACCCTGAGTGTAGGACAGAGACTTAGGATTTCATGACACACACTTGTCTCTAAAAAGGCTTCACATCCGATTGTATCTTTCTCCCTAGAGCCTACCACTTCCATACTGTGTGGCTTTCCTTGATCGTCTGTGGAAGCAGAAGTCAGAGGAGGAAGAGGAAGAGGAAGAAGAAGAGGAGGAAGAAGAGGAGGCATCTCCGGATCCACTGAAGCCATGTTCTCTTCCCAAAGCAGCTCCTATTGGAGACCAAGCCACTATAGCCTCATCCCAGCCATCCTGTTGTTCTGAGGGCCTCCATAAGGCCATAGGGACACTAGAGGAAGTACTCACGCGGACCTCAAGCCCTTCCAGATCCTTCCCCACCTTTCAGATCTTGACCAACCTGCCTGTGAGGCACAAGACAGCATCAGGGAGCCGTTTACAGCAGAGAAAAAGCCAACTCTTCTGGGGTCTCCCCTCTCTGCACAGTGAGTCCTTGGAGGCCATCTTCCTGAGCTCAGGTGGCCGCTCTCCTCTGAAGTTATCTGTTAGTCCTTCTGTCTTCTTCAACAAGCATGCCTTTCTGCCTAGATCCCCAGAATTGCTGCTTCCCCAGTATTGCTCCTCAAGCCAGATTTCTACCCATGAAGTCCATACTACAGAAGATTTGAAAGAGATGCCCTCTGATCCTCACCAACTTCCCCCTCCATCTTCTCCTTGTGTCCCATCACTACCCCTCCCTCTTAAACCCTTTCCCATGGACCATAAGAAAGACCTATTTGGCACTGAGGCAAATACACAGTGGCTTACACTGCAGAGAGAGGTCCCTTGGGTCTCTGAGGATCAAGCCCTGCACCCACAGCTTAAAATCCAAAGAACCAGACCCTCCAAGCTCTTCCATTCATCTGAGGTCTGGTGGAAGTTGCCACAGGATCCTAGCCTCCAACAACACATTCCAGATTCATTCTCTGCCTCTCTAGGAGAGTATCCCTCTAGCCTTCTAGAAGCCCTAACTAGGTTTGAGGCCCCATGGAGGACCATGGGGCAAAAGGAGGACCCCAAGACCTCTGAGCCAGCAATGCCAGCTCCCAGCCCAACCCTAGCTTCTCTGCCAGAATGCCAGGGAGTCAGCCCAAAAGGAAGCCTGTCTGAATCTAAGGCCCTCTGGGAAACCACAAGGCAAAGAGAGAATTTTCAGATTTCTGAGCCTCCAGTCCCAGTCCCTTGCCAATCTGTAGCCCCCATGATAGAACCTCAAGGAACTAGCACCCTGGGAGCTCCACCTGTATATGAGACTCAGTGGGGAACCACAGGACATAAAGAGAATCCTCAAGCCTTTCAGCCCCCAATGCCAGCCCCCTGCCAATCCCCAGATTCTCTGTCAGAACCCCAGAAAGTCAGCCCTGAAGGGGAACCTTCTGCAAACAAGGACTTCTGGGGAAACTTGGGGCACAGAGAGAACCCTCTGGCCTCTGGGTCTCCAATGCCAGCCCCCTTCCTTTCCCCCGATCCCCTACCAAAACTCCAAGGAGGCAGTTCCCTGGGAGATCCATCTGAATACATGCCCCAGCAGGGATGCAGAGAAAATTCAGCAAACTCTTGGGCCTTTGAGCCCCCACCCTGGGACCTCGACCCAGGACACTATGGAACCAGGCCTGCATGTGCCCCATCAGGATCTGAGACTCCATGGAAGGGCATGCATACTAGAGATAATCTTTGGGCCTCTGCAAACACAGGTTCATCTCCCAGCCTTCCCTCAGCCTCTCCGCCGGAGCCCCTAGGAATGGGTGCTCAGGCAGTCTTGTCTGAGTCCAAAGCTTTAGGGGAGGCCATGAGGCAGAGAGAAGAACTCTCGATCTCAGAGTCCGCAGCCCCTGCCCATAGCCCATCTCTAGCTCCCATTCTAGAACCACACAAAATCACTCCTTTGGGAGGCCTCCTTGGGTCAGAAGCTACATGGAAGGACACTGATCATTCCAGAAATTCCTGGGCTTCTGAATCTCCATCTCTGGCATTCAGCCCACCCCCACCTCTTATACTAGATTCTCTTAGAGTTAGCCCCACGGGGGTCCTGTTTGATTCGGAAGCTAGATGTGGGGACATACAAAGGAGAAAGAACTGCTGGGCCTCTGAGCTCCCAGATTGTAGCCTACCCCAAGACCCACACAGAGCCAACTCTTTGGGAGTCCAGTCTGACTCTGAGCCTGTTAGGGAGGATAAGGAGCAGAAAGAAACCTGTTGTGTTCCTGTGTCGCCACTGTGGGGCCCCAGCCCATCCCCAAACTCTATGTCAAAGTCTCACACAAGTGAGCCTATTGGAGACCAATGCAACTGTAAACCTGATGGGGAAACAGTGCAGCAGAGAGGGAACTACTGGACCACTGAACTCCCAGCATCAACCCCCAGGTCACTCTCTGCTCCTCTACCAGATCCACATGTTGACCTTGAGTTTGTGTGGAGGAATATGCAACAAAGAGGGATCCTCCAGGACCCCAGCCTTCCAGCAGTGGATCCCCTGCAGCCAATACCCTGGCCTCCTACCCTAGCTGTAGCTCTGAAGACTGAGCCCAACCAGCCTGACCTATCTAAGGGAGAGCTTTTCCCAGGGGTTAACGCAGAGCCTCCATCCTCCCAGAGAGAGGCTGTCCCACAGGTACCCACCCACTCTGGGATCCAGGCCTGGCACTGGAGTAGAGAGTTGGAACTCAGGCGGAAGAAACTACAGCAGAGCTCTGCTTCCAGATCTCTTGGCCCAAGTCAATCATTTGGCAGCTCCCCTGTCCTGGGCTCAACTCAAGCCACCCGGAGATTTTCTTCCTGTCCTCCACAGCAGACTCATCCTCCCAATCTGTGCCCCCTCTTTTCAAGCTGTCATCCCCACAAAATTCAGAGCACAATAACTCAGCCTGTTCAGGTCTCCCACTGTTACCACTCTCACTCCTTTTCCCACCCTCAGCCACAAAAGTATGGGAGGACAGAACAAGGTTCTCAGAGAGAGCAAAGAATGAAAAAGATGGTGTCCCAGATCTCATCCCAGGGGTCATGTGTTTACATGGAGGCTGGTGAGAACTGCCCAGGCCTGGAAGAGACCCTAGACCCTAAGGTTCCAGCCTCAGGCAAGAGACAGGACAAGGCTTCAGCCCCATCTTCAGCCAAAGAGAGACAGAGTCCCAGGAAACCCAAAGCAGATCATGGAGGAGGGGATTCAAGATTGAGGTCATCCATAGTTACAGTAAAAAGCCACCCAGCCCAGGCTAGAAGACTAGCAGAGGTCCCTGTAAGCAGACTTTCCCAAAGATTTCAGCACAGGGACCAGAGTTCTCGACACACTGCTCTCTCCAGGCAGCTTCACTGCAAGGCTGCAGACTCCCAAGATCAGCGAGGGGCAAGGCTGGGAGCTGGTGACATCCTGGCCTCACAGCACTGTAAGAACTGCCCTTGGGCCCGGAAACATCTTTCCTCCCCTACACCTCAGGCTCCTCTTACCAGGGGTCTCCAAAGGGTGTTAGCCAAGTTTCTGGGCATCCATGAACCCCTGCCCACCAAATCCAGTCAGCAAAGGAAAGGCTGGTAGTACCGGCACCCAATATAAGTACCTCAAGACCTGAAGCCAAACCATTTGTGGGGTGGGGAGACAAGCCAAGGAAATCCTAATAAACTAGCTCAACCAGACAAATCCTACTCATGTCTTCTTTGGAGTCTGGGGTGCTGGGAATGTTAATTCCCTATAAACTTCTGCTGCAGCCATATTCCCTCAGGATCAAGTCCCAGAAGTAGACAGCTCAGGATTCTACAGGCTCAATTTTCTTTTCAAGCCCTTCACAGATGATCAACCTGGAGTCCACACATCCCTACTCTACAGGGTGAGGCTGTTAAGGCCAGTGGAGCACAGACCAATGCTGCCCTTGGAAAATACTGCACAGCAAGTCAACAGAAGAAAAATACATCTGTTCACATGAGCCCAATTGGTCTGGGTCTAGGCAGCTGTTCTTAGTCCTGGGTATGGTCCCCTTCTTTACCTACTTCATCCACAAGTTCTCCATGTATCTTCCTGGCCAATTCTTGTCAGCCCTCAGCTCTTTTCTCTCTCTAGTTTAACTCATGCATCTCCAAGGCCACAAGAACAAAAGTCCTTTTTCATGTTTAGTGGTCATCTGGACGTCTTCTATAATTTCCTGTTCATATCATATACCCATTTTTCTACTGCACTGTTTGTCGGATGTTGTATTACTTTTCTACTGCTGTCATAACAAATGACCACAAAACAACATAAATTTGGTCAGAAGTCTGATATATGTCCCACAGGGCTAAAATCAAGAGGCTGGCAGGGCTGCATTCCTTTCTGTGGGAACTGGGTAAAACTCACTATCCTTCCCAACTTCTAGAGGCTGCCCCCATTTCTCAACTACTGACTGGCCTTCCTCCATCTTCAAAGCTAACAAAGGCAAGTTCAAGTTCTTCTCACATTACATCACTCTTGTCTACCTCTCCCACTTTTAAGGACACTTTTAATTACATTGGGCCCACCTGGATAATCAGATACCCTTATCTTCAAGTCAGTTGGCTAGCAACCTTAATTCCATCTGCAACTTTAATTCCTTTTTGCCATGTAAAATGATATATTCACAGGTGTCAGGGTTAGGATGTGGACCTTTTTTTGCAAGGGGTATTCAGGAATGGCATCATCCTATCACAGATATTAACTCAACCTGTTATGTATGCTGCAAATATCTTCTCCCAATCTGTACCTTATTTTCCAATTTTGTTTAAGGTGATTTTTACTGTGCCAAAGTTTAAATCTACCAACACTTTCCTTTATGGCTTCTAAAATGCTTTCTTCTAGCACTTTCATAGATTTGTTTAGAGTGTTAATCTAATTTTTGAGTAAAGTGTGAGTTGGGAATCTAACTCTCCTCACCCCCAAAACAAATGTCCAATTCTACCAGACCATTAAAAAATGTTTTGAACTCATTCTATTAAGTGCCATATTTCAAAACATGGATCATTTTCTAACCATCTCTAGATTTCATATCCACATATCTAACCACCTAATAGCATTCACATATTCAACTTGTCCAAAACTTACTCATTTTGCCTTTAATCTTTTCCTCCAGTGTGTCTATTCTTATTGAAGAGGTATCACACCCACCCCAATACTGAAGCCAGAAACCTGCCATCCCTGACTCCTCCCTTCTCCTCACTCCCTAATCTAATCCATCATCAATTATAACCCTGTCAATTACACAAATATAAAATGTACTTCAAGTCCATCTTCACCTCTCAATCTCCACCATCACTGTCTTAGTTCAGTTATCATTTCTCACTAAATTAGTTGTCCTACTCCTTCTAATTCATCCTCCATACACGGCTACAATTCTCTAGAGGTTAACTGACCCAATCTCTTCAACAAGCATCACAAAAGTTTGAGTAAAGGAACGTAACAGATGCAACCTGTGGTCCACAGGTTGATTTGATTTGGTCAACAGTTGTGAATGACATTTTTGGTTCACTTGGGAAACTCTGAATATGGTATGAGTGCTTGATTAAATGGAAATTTACTGAAAGGGAAAGGTGATTACTGACTAAAAAAGTTATAAAGTAGTATGACCTTATTTTGATTAAAAAAATACCACACACACATTTATACACATACACAGAAACAGATTCAGAAAAATATGAGCCAAAGTTATTAAAATGATTATCTCTGGCTATTGGAAGTATTTTTTAAATTTGCTTGTATTTTTCAAAATTTCTACAACACATTACTGCTTTTCTAAAAGTTTTTTTTTAAATGTCAATTGTCAATAAGAATGAATTGTCTATACACAATGCACATGTGGTTGACAATACTGTACTGTACGGATGGAAATTGTTGGGTGAATTTTGTTATTTTGCCACAATAGAAGAAAAAAAAGTGAATTGTCCAGCACTGAAATCTTGTTACTTTCCTGCCCAAAACCCCCAGAAGACATATGACATCTTTAGAATAAAGTTCACATCTAGCATTTGAGGTTCTTCACAACATGGTTTGGCCTCTCAGAATTTACTCCTTTACTAATCAACCTGATGTTTCCTAAGCATCCTCTGTCTTTTGCTCTCTTGCACTCCTCCAGGTCAAGCCTCCCACCTTCCTTTAATGCCCAGTTTAGACTACCTCCAGAGCCTTCTCAGATTCTATCTTGGTACGGTGTCCCCTTCCTTGCAGCCCCATAACAAGTTGTGCCTTGGTGATAAGCATGTTTCCTATTATGGCTATAAAGCCCTTCAAAGGCAGTGAGATTCTGTGAGGTCAAGTCTACACTCCCAAACCAGTGCTCTTTCCATTCCACAACATTTGCTCTACTCTCTGTATCTGGTTAAGAAAAACAGCTAGTCAGAAGGTACATGCTGTCCCTCTGCCTCCTCTCATTAATGTCACTATTCTGTTCCAAAGTTTTATTTAGCCCAAACCTGCTTATAGGGTCTAAATCCAAAGCACCACCTGCTGGCCAAGAGTGGAACTGAAAGTATTTTCCTTCTCCACACCAGATTATCCACCCCTAGAAAGTCTCAAGACAATGCAATTCTGAATTCCTACTTGACACAGGGCCATTTAAAGTCTATGAATCTCTGAATAGCTTTATGAGAAATCTAAGTCCTATATTCTTAAGTGTTTTTAAGCCCTCAGTAGGTTGGAGGGCTAAGAAAGATTAACAAACCACTTAACATTTGCACAGTTCAGTCAAACTTATGATTGGCAGGCATGTATTCCTTCCCAGCATTACGTGACCACTAGACTCTCAGGGCTACTTATAGGACCAATATCTTGGATCCAAATAACTCTCAAGATGTTAGATTTATAGTTCCACCTTTGCTTCTGCCTTTGTAGCAAATTGTTTGTCCTCTGACCTATTTTGATGCCATATTCTTGGTTAGAAATCCATCTTCTAATCACAGCTCTTATCCTACGGGAAGAAGAGATTAGCTATAGTAAGATCACATTCTAACTCCTTTCTGTGAACCCTGTGGGGGAAAAGATGAGCTGCCTATATAATCTGCCTCTTGGTTTAAGTATGCAGGCTCCTGCAAGTGTAAGCTGACAATAAACAGTGCCTCATACTGCTTTCTACAGTTTACAAACCACTGTCCATCATTTTATCAGACTAAGAATTCTGAGGCCTCAGAAGAGCAACTTCATTGTCCGATGCTACACTGCTATAGGTACAAGTGCCAGAAGCAAAGCCAGACCTCTCACAAATCTGCTCTTGTTTTTTCCTAAAGAACCCATAGAGCTTTAACCATCTTCCCTATAGACACACTGTATTACAAGTGAGAGCAAAGCAATCATTCCAATACAAATTTCTATCACATATCAACCAGTATCTCTACATATTTTGTGGGATCTTGCCTTTTGTTCTGATGCAGAGGTACCAAATGTCTTTTCCCCAAAAGACCCTGTCTTTGGTCTCACTGAGGGTAGGCTGCTACAGGGATGAGACAGAGTTACCGTGTTGAGAGTGGGACGAAGACTGAAAGATAAGCCATCAGGACACCTAAATGGTGGGAAAACCAAAGAAGGACCAAAGACAGGATCCAGTGGAGAAAGTGCCATTGGAAACAATGGACAGTCAATACAAATCACAAAAGTGCAAAAATATCTATTTCATAGCACATGAGTTTGAGATGCCCCGGTTTAATCAGCCAATATAACTATCTTGAGTCCTTGGAGATTACCTATGTATACCAGACCAGAGCCTGGTACAAATATTAGAACAACTAATAAAAATTTGACTCAGTGGATTATTTTCTCTGCACCATACTCCTCATTCAGTAAGGCATCAAGGTAGTGATCCCAGAAGCACTAAGTGATTACATTGGTACTTGCTAAACGAAGGGGATACTCTATACCTGGACAAAACTATGCAAGCAGTCATCTGAAAAACTAAGAGAGAGAAGGATGTTTAGTTTAGAAAAAAACACATTCAATACTAGAATTTCATATTAGAAAAACGCTATTTTTTATAATACAAATTACATAAAGGTGGACATCATTTGAAGTGCTCCTCAACCAGAACATGAATGTACTGAATTTTTAGAAGCATGAAGAGAACATCCATCTCCAGACACAGACTGTATCTTTCTATAACCTTAAGATTTTTGAAGGGCACCCCAATCCAGCCTTCGTCAGGAAAGGGGGCTCTGCAGGCCTAGTCTCACCACTCCCTTCATATGTTGGTGGAGAATGCCACATACTCCACACCTGGAGCTCCATCAGACTGCTCCCCCTCCACTGCAGTCCTATCCAGTGATACTGCAGACACTGGGCGAGGCAGCAGCATACCAATATTAATCAGGAGGGGAAGATGGTACAATCTTACTTCCAGGATTTCACATCTGGAAGAGTGCCTTGGCAGTAAGGGGTAGCCCAAGGCCCTTCCCAGGAAAAGAAGCAGGCACAGGGGCCAGGACTCAGGCTCCATTTTGACCCAACGTTTATTGTCCTTTTACAACATGTCATTTTTGGTTTAGAAACTGCTTGTGATTAGTTTTCCAACATTAACTCAAAAGCATGTAAAATAAAAATCAACCTACTCTCTATATAAACACCCAGCAACTGTAGCCCTTCACCCTCCTGCCCGGGTTGGGTAGGGGGAAGAAGGGAGGGTTGGGCAGCATTGAGTGAAGTGCAGGTGCTTTACTGTGGAGAGTGGCAATAATGCCTTTGTTCACACCACAGAGGTCCCCTGCACTGCCCCAAACTACAACAGAAATGGCGTTGGCCCAAGGCCCAATTCCCTGTTGGTAATTCACTCTCCGCCTCCCAAATGAAAAATCACTTTTATTTTATCGCTTTTGTTTTGTTTTTTGTTTTTTTTGCAACAGTAACCCCCTGTCCAGAGTCTGACTGTAGCTGAACTGTTCAGACTGAGGAATGGAGCAGGCCGCGGGTGCATCCCTGGTCCCTCCTGGGCGAGCGCCCCCACCCTCAGGGAACAAGGTCCAGCCAGGCCAGCTCACTGTACACTGGCTACCACCACTTAGCCATACAGGTCATCATCATTATCTTCTGTGTACACACTGCCACCTGTGCCACCACCACTGCCCTGACTGGGGCCAGCTCCACCTTGGTTTCCTGAAGGGAATCTGCAGAAGGGCAGAGGCAAAAAAGAGGATTAGGACAGAGCTCATGTGGGATTTTCACAACTACCCCTTCTAGCCTCCTTCAGGATCCCACTATCTTGGTTGTATAGTTCCCCAAGACAACTTAAGCACAGCCCACTGAGACCTAGTTACCTGAAGCTGCCAAAGCCCCGACTCTGCTGAAGGGTCTGAGCAAACATCTCATACTTCCGGATGTCATTATCACTGACAGAACGGCGGGCAAAGCGCATGGCTTCCTCAAAGTGATCTCGGCGGATCTCAGGCACTGGATCATCCTCTTCTACTTCCTGTTGGATGGATAAACACAGACCACCAGGGTTAGTTAAGGCTCAGCCTGGATTCCTTCCCCAGCCTTCTGGACCCTCATTACTGCAGTAGCTTATGGCAGAGACTTAATGGATTGGGCCTCTGCAGTCCAACCTAAAAGAGTCGCCAGGACAATCTTCTTAAAACTGTGTCACCACTCTGCTTAAAAAACCTGTCAGTGCATTCTAGAAAAGGTAAAACTGTAGGGACAGAATTCACATCAGTGGCTGCCAAAGGCTTACAGTGGGAAAATGAGGCTGACTAAAGTGGTATGACAAAACTTTCTGGGACAACTGAAATCTGTGTATCTCAACTGTGGCAGCAGTTATAGAACTTATATGCAATTGTCCAAAAGCATGCAAACAGTATACCTAAAAAGGGTGAATTTTACAATATGTAAATCATATCTCATAAACCTAAATTTTAAAAGGAAAATGTCAATCTGGATTCCACCTTACCTACTGGCCTCACTTCCAGCAACATATGACCTCTTAAATCTACTCAGGTTTCCCCAATTCCTGCAATCCTACTTCTCATGCAGGTTATTTGGGTGGCTTATTTTCTTTACCCAAATTGTACTCTCTCTTCATAGCCCAGCTTAAGCCCTGTCTCTTCCAGTGAGAAGCCACTCAATTGCTGTGACTTATGATTAGAATAGGATTAGAATATCAGTAGTTTATAAGCTTTTATGAAATGGAGGAGAGATGTCACAGATTCTCCGCAAAAGGTAAAGAAACCCATTCATTCATTTATTTATTTGCTCATTAAGTCAGTCACTAACACACACACACACACAAACACACACACACACCAAATTCTGCATTTAATTCAGGAAATTCATGGATCACCAGGGACAGGTCCATGGATCCTAGGTTCTAAGCCCTGCTTATTTCTCTGCTGAGCTCTTCTCAGCGTTTATAATTCTAGATTGAACGGGTTAACTGCTCAGCATTCTCTCTTCAATCCCCTGCTAAACATTTTAGCCAGATGATCTTTCCAAAACCTTATATTCTTAATTCTAGGGCACTGTGGAGATTGTCCACTGGCTCCCCATGACTGGCACGTGTGGGGAAAGGATGCAGACTCACCATGGCTGATGGGTTGGTCTGCCTCTCCCGTTCTCTCCTAATCTCACTCTCGATTGACTCACGGATGGCCAGCTTGCAAGCACGTTGGCAAATCTCTGTCAAGTCAGCTCCAGAGAAGCCATTAGTCATCTTAGCCAGGAACTCCAAATCCACATCCTAAAAGAAGCAACAGAGCTATCTTAGCATTTAGCCTTTTCTCCCCGGGATATGCTGATCTTTGAGCCACCCAAGCACTCCCAATTCCAGTTTGTCCAATCTTCTGCCACTCTGTTTTATTTCTTATTCTAGATTATCCTAATATCCTCAAATATTCTATCTTCCCTTTACAACAATAACCCCAGGGATTCCCCAATAGAATCTTGTCGAGGAACCAAAGCACTCCATTGTGCTCTGCCTGAGGATTCAAAGAAGTCCCCATGACCCAAGACCTTGCACCTGCCTTGGCAACTGGAGACTTGCGCAGGTTAGCCTTGAGAATGGCAACACGGGACTTCTCATCAGGAAGTGGTATGTAGATTAGCTGATCAAGGCGGCCAGGTCGCAGGATGGCAGGATCAATGATGTCAGGTCGATTGGTAGCGCCAATGATAAACACATTTTTTTTTGTGGACATGCCATCCATTTCTGTCAGGATCTGGTTGATGACTCGGTCAGCAGCCCCACCACCATCTCCAATGTTGCCACCACGGGCCTTGGCAATGGAATCCAGCTCATCAAAGAACAGTACACAGGGGGCAGCTTGGCGGGCCTGTGTGAGGGACAGATGGACTCAAGCATTAGCACAATTGGGTCTCTCAGACCTGAGAAGGAACAGAAAAAACAGTGATCTTCACTGCTCTAGCTGAGCTGCCAGAACAAGATGGTTTTAACTCTCCCAAAGAAACAGGCTCTACCCACTAACTTGTCCCCAAGTAAGTGAACTGACAGCCCAGCTACTTGCAGCTTACCTTGTCAAAGATTTCCCTGACATTGGCCTCAGATTCCCCAAACCACATGGTGAGCAGCTCAGGACCCTTGATGGAGATGAAGTTGGCCTGGCACTCATTAGCGATGGCTTTGGCCAGCAAGGTTTTCCCACAGCCAGGAGGTCCATAGAACAGTACTCCTTTGGAGGGTGTCATGCCAAATTTGAGGAATTTGTCTGGGTGCTCCACAGGATACTAGGAGGAAAGGGAAAGAGGGTTCAGGCATAACCCCATAGTTTAAAAGAAACCTAACCAAACAAAAGCACCCTTCCACACTACCCCATGGTGTTAAGATCTAGGTTCCCTAAAAGCAGGTTTCTTGGCGCCTCCATTCTGAGAATAGCAAGTTCCTGAATTATGCTCAGAATTCCTGCAGTGAATGTGCCAACACCCCAAGACCACCCAGCTCAAGTACAATGTACTGAGGCAGCGACTCACCCTGGACCAATTATCTTACCTGGACCAGCTCCTGAAGCTCACGTTTGACATCCTCCAGGCCCCCAATGTCCTCCCAGGTCACCTGTGGCACCTCTACCACAGTTTCCCGCAGTGCTGATGGGTTGCTCTGGCTCAGGGCCCACTAAAAAGGGAAGAAAAACTGGGGAATGAGACTTGCCAGGAGCGAAATCAAAGTGAAGTGCATGTGTGTGTATTTGAGATATGGGTGCAGTCCTTACTCGGAAGTCATCCATAGTAACTGCCAGGGAATTCATGACCTCAGCATCAATGGTCTCGTCCTCTAGGTCAATGAGGTCCATCTTCTTGCGAATGGCTTGCAGAGCAGCCTCGGAGCACAGAGCCGCTAAGTCAGCACCCACATGCCCATGAGTTTCATTGGCCACCTGTAGAGAGAAGATCTACATACTATCCTATCTCTAAGACTGAGCTGCCTTAGGAAGCTCAGAGACAACAGAATCCTGCTCCCTTCCCTTGATTCCTATCTGGGTCCTCCCATTTCCCTGAACATATATACTAGCAGTCCTTTCACTAGCTGGGTTTTAAGTATTCAAGCCTGGACCTGGGGCCTGTAAATAAAGCTGCCCCCAAAACTCTGGTTCACTCTAACACAGTGTCAACCAAGGAACATGCCAACTCAAGTTTCCTGGATTCAATCTCAGATCACTTCCCTTCTCTTGCACAGGTATCAAAATCAGTCTTCTCACATCTTAAGCTTATGTCCCTAGTCAGTTGCCTTCAACTGCCTAGAAACAGATATCCTAACTTCTGGCCAGCTCTCATCACCACTCCACCTGTTCCAGGTCCACATCATCTGCCAGCTTCATGTTCTTGGTATGGATCTGAAGAATTTCCAAGCGTCCTGTAGCATCAGGAATTCCAATATCTACCTCCCTGTCAAAGCGACCTGTGGGACGGTGTATAAACATAGACAGGGCTTATTTCTGGTCCAGAGGGAAGAAGAGACGAGTCTAAGTTGACAACCACCCCAGTCCTGGAGTTAGCACTGAAAGCCCTATATCCTGAGAAATCCCTCAGTCTCACGCAAACCAGCATGGTTGATCACCCTAGACATGACACGGGATAAGGGAAAAGACCCCTGGGCCCTAACACTGCAAGGAGCTTCATGAAATCCTCAGAATTAGGTGACTTAGATAAAGGACAGATGTGGGATCAACAGGGTTAAGCCCAGCAGAGCCATAATCTGCCTGTGAGCAAGGACAGCAGAAATTTGGGGTCCTTACCAAATCGCCGTAGGGCTGGGTCAATGCTGTTGGGTCTATTGGTTGCTGCCATGACAATCACATGTGCTCTCTGCTTTAGGCCATCCATGAGGGTCAACAATTGTGATACAATACGCCGCTCTACCTCCCCATGGGTCTATCAAGGACAGAATGTCTGGTCAGAAGTGAAGTCAGGACCTTTCAACACCCCACTATCCCCTCAGGTAAGTTCCTACTTTCTCTCTTTTGGGAGCAATGGCATCCAACTCATCAATGAAAATGATAGCAGGAGCATTCTTCTCAGCCTCTTCGAAAGCTTTGCGAAGGTTGCTCTCAGACTCACCAGCCAACTTGCTCATGATCTCAGGCCCTGAAACCATACAGAATGGATGCAATCACAAAACTACATCCTTCCTCAATCTCAAAAGAAATCAGTTATCTTGTTTGCCCAGCCCAGAAACAGGTCCTGGATGAGAACGTGGTAACCTCTGCCTACTTTCTCACAGCCCCTATCGATCATTATCCCAGCATAGCCACCAAGCCAAGACAGAAAGAAACCATGGGGCTAAATATACTTATCTCACAGTCAAGCTGGAAGTATGAAGATGACAGCAGATGCTCTGGGACCTCTGGCCAGAGCAGCAGAAACAGCATACCAGTTGGACCTCTACTAGCGAAGTATCATTCTCAAAGAGCCAGCTGATCTCAGCCAGTCTTCCCCAAACCCTCTCAAATATATAAGCACAGACATTTTGAGTTCTCTTTCTAACTTGTTCCACCTAAATGTCTTCAGCCTGTTCACCACCTTTCGCAAAGTGGGGATAGATCATGGGACACCAGAGTAGAACACCCTCCCCTTGCTTCTTGTCTGTCTCCAATGTAGCCCAGCAGAATAAAGATACTAAAGTATACACAACGATATGTATATAAACATGTCCATGAGTTCTCCAGCTCATGAGACTGGGTCATGGTCAGCTCAGAGTTGAGTCCAGCCAAACACGAAGTGAACCAAGTCTCTTACCATTGATCAAAAAGAAGAAGGCTCCAGTCTCATTTGCCACAGCTCGAGCAATCAGGGTCTTCCCAGTCCCAGGAGGTCCATAGAGTAGGATTCCCCGAGGAGGCTGAGGACCAGTATCAGAGGGTGTGATTAGGTTCAGACTCCCATCTTCTCCCAACACCAGCCACCCTAAAATGGCCTGACAAGGACTCTATCTAGAGAGGGTGAGAATCAGAGCTCAACTCTGACACCAGGAAGAATGAGCCCTTAAGCAGCAGCTGCTAGAAGACAGTTTACTTCAGACCATACTCACTCCTCTTATCAGCGAATACTGCTAGAAGGCTGACAACATTTATGATTGCATAGGAGACAAAGAGTAGAGAAACCACACTAAGAAACTCTTAGTGTGACTGAGTCTGACTATCCTAGAAATCAGGAAAAGCAAGAGGCCATTAGGCCAAGGGCTTGACTTGAGACAGACAAGAGCCAAGGACTAGCTTAGCCATTTAAGAGTGTTGCTAGAGGCTCACTGACCCCACTAATCACAACTCTCCAGGATTTATTATCATGTTGGGATGCCTTCCCTTACCAACAACCACGAGTTTTTCTCTTTGAAACTGTCTTTCCTGTGGCCTCATCCACAAGTAGCACATGGAAAAGTGCCCACACAGAAGATAAAATTATTTATACAGTGTATACTAGGTAAAGGGAAAATAAAGTCCATTAGATAAGGAAAGTCTTTAACATTTAGAAGTATTGTAATTAAGAACAAAAAAAGATATGCAACAGAGAACTTAATTGGCCAACTCTGTTCTAGACCATTAGTAGCTTTAATGACTTCAAAGCCCTCTATAAACTCAAATAAAGTATTTCCTCTCTAATCCAAGGCAATGATGAAACACACATATGAAGACAAGTCCCAGGATTAGACAGCAAGTAGTCATTAATCACCACCCTAAACTATATCCCACAGAGTCCAGGATGCTCACCTTCACACCAATTGCCTTAAAGAGGGCAGGATGTCTCAGGGGCAGCTCCACCATCTCCTTTATTTGAGCCAGCTGTTTCCTGCAGCCACCAATGTCATCATAGCCCACTTCATTCAAGGACTCTTCCTCATCCTGAAATGAAGGAAACAAAGAAAAGGAAAAGGCAGGAATATTACTATCAGCAAAAGTTGAGTTTCTCTAAATCTGAGAAGATTTTCCTCTAAAGGGATCATACCTCCAAGAGTAACTCTAAGCCCTTCTCTATCACACTGTAATTAGTCTTAATGGGATGGGCTCCTCTAAGACCTGAAGCTAGAAACTCTGGAAAATGGGCAGGGGTCTAGATGCCATTAGCATCACATCTTTAAAAATTATTCCAAACACTTAGATCCTTCAGGTTCAATCTAGATTTTAAAAATTATTGGAATCAGATACTTTCAAGAAACATCTAGGCCCAGAAGCAAATAGCTAGGTTTCCCACCTTTGGAAAGCTTAGCTATCAAGTCTGGGTATTCTTTGGAACTACTGCATGACTGCCTCACTGAGTTATCACAAAGTAGGGTACTGGAATCAGGGAGAGAACTCACCTCTCGTTTGATAGGCTCCCCTTCACAGTGGATCACTGTGTCTGGAGCAACAATGCAGTAAGGACTGGGATCTGTCTCCACTACTTTGAACTCTACGGCACGCATTCCACCCCGGACAAGGAAAATGTCTCCTGTGAGAGAAATCAGCACAAGAACAGTCAGAGGTGTCTATTACCAGACCAAGTGAGAATTCCTCATCAGGACCTGGGGTCTAGAATGCCAAGTTCACTAGATATTGCCCTTTCTCCTTCCCATCCCCATCATATTAAGCATCAGGCAAAAAGAGAAAGCTAAACTGTGAAGAGTCCCTCTGCCACTCAAGACAGTAAACAAAACCTGATGTGCCAGAAGTCCATGAGGTTTTTGACTTCTGGGGTATAGATAACCCAAGCTTTCACCACCACCACCAGTGGTAGATCTGTGCTAAACAGTAAGTACTAAATACACTTTGGACTTGTGACACAGCCAAATTGGCCTATCTCTTCCCTCAGAGATACAAGATAGCTTACTCTACTAAAGCAGAGATGGGGAATGGGAAAATGGAAGAGTGGGAGGAAGGAGGGAAGGAAAGAGCTCACATGAGCATGCATAGAGAATGTGTGTGTATGCACACATATATGAGAATGAGACAAAGGTGTCCCAAGGTTTACTCCCAGGTACCCCTACAAACAATCATCCTTAAGTTCAGTCCCTAGGATCATCACTTACCTTTCCGGATGGGCCGATAAGCTTCCAGGAAGTATGGCTTAAGGTATACCTCAAAGAGATTGCCAGTGATGCCTTCCACTGTGTCATCAATGGGTAGTACGTGGATACGTTTGCCGTACTTCACATCAGGGCATGGCTGGATGCTGAGGATGACAAGCAAACTCCACATTACCAACCATACTGCAGCCCCAAGCACTGGGTGTCCAAAAGGGCCTGGCACAGAGAGCTGATGGCGAGCGAAAGAGAAAAGGCAAGGATGGCTCTAGGTGAAGGGAGGCAGGAGGGTACAGTGGGAGTGAGGGCAAAGGAAGAGCCAAGCAGAACAGGTTCATGTGCAGGGTGGGATAGTGAGGGGAGCTGCTGGGGCTGCCAATTCCAATCAGTGAGCCAAAAGGAAGACCCACACATCTGGAATCCCCCGCAAAGACACAGAAAGGAGGGTCTTCAGTGAGAGACATCCAAGGATGACCCATTCTGATTAATACTGGTGATCCAGTATTACCAAGGGAGACCTCAGTCTGTTAACTATCAGGGTCAGAGAAACAAAAGTGAAAAAATAATTTCAGTCAAGTGGTCAGAGCATCAGAGCACCTTAAGATAGTGACTAAGCATCTCTAGGCAGACTACATGAAACCTAGAATTCATGAAAAAGAATCAGAAGCCTGAGATGTTCCTGGTCAGGTGACAGATAGTTGGGTAGCAATGGCTAGAGATGACTGAAAGATGGAGAAGCCTCTTGCCTAATGTTCAAAATCACTCAGACTGGAGCTGTCCTGGGTCTGGCTCAAACAATGCTTCTCCCCTAGATTAACTTGGACCCTTAAAAGACCGGCTAGGAATCCACCTTCCATGCTCACACTCCCATCTCATAATTTGGCAGACACAAACCCTCAAATGGTATCCTAAACCAGGGTCTAAAGTGTGATAAGTTATACCTCTGATAGAAAAAAATAAAACTACCAAGAAAGCCATTGAAATGCCAACTTGTCCTAAGGATCATTCAGAGGCAGATTTTGAAGTCCCACAGGCAGAACCAAAACCTAAAGACAACCCTGAAACATAAGTCTTCCCATAGCCTGGAGGTTCCCACTATCTGCAGCTGCCAAGGCCTTTGCAGGGGTATACTGCCTGTAATGCACGCTGTCTCTGGCCTCCCATCCCTGAGGGGCCAAGAACCCCACACACACCTGATGACATCCCCTAGGTGTACGCGAAGGTTATTCCGAACAACTCTATTCATTCGAATCTTCTCATCAGAACATGTGTCATCAGAAAGCACAATGCACACAGCTTCCCGCCTCTTCTTTCCTTTCAGCAACACTGTGTCACCTCGGAACAACTGCAGCTCATCCATCTTGGGCTGAGGAAAGAAGGTTAAGGCCTTTGGGTCACTGGGCCAGGGGTTAAGCAGCAGCCCTGGAGGTTGGGATTCCCAGTAAACCCCATTCTATCTGTGGTCACTGCAAGAAAAATGAGAAAAGAAACCTGGGAAAAGCCCTCAGGTTGGTTAAGTGCAATAAGCAAAGATTGGACTGTGGACCCAACTTACCTGGGACAACGATACCACACTGTTGTCCTCATTGATGGCTTCATCAACAATCAACCGATTGGGACGGTTCTTCTGTTTAAGAATGGCTGTTGATAAATCATCACCTTTTGAACTAGAAAGAGAAAATGAAGTCAGTTCCAAAACATATTCCAGCCCCAGGGGCCCCACTAGTCTCAAAAATTCACACTTAAGAAAGAAAGAGTAGATAGATGAAGCTGCCCCTACACAGAGAGTTCAAATGAAGAGAAATTCAGCAAAGGTCAAGAAGAGTAATACCTTATAATATGTACAATTCCTGTTCCAGCAACTCTTGGTATTCTGAGCACTGGTATCCTAACTATAAAGCCCCAGGTGATCTTGCCCCACGGTCAGAAAACTAAGACAAAATAAAAGTGGAGGCTGAGCAGTAACTGGAGAAACAGAGCCTTAGACAGCACAGAACAGTGATAAAGAAATGGGACTCTGAAAATCAGAACTGTTAGGTCTGAATCCCAATACTGCCACTGCGTAACTGTGATCTTAGGTAAGTTATTTAAACTCTCTGGAGGTTGACAGCCTCATCTGTAAAATGGGGACTAGAGTAGTACCTATCTCAGAGAATCACTGTCTTAAGTAAGATAATGAACACAAAACGTTCAACACAATGCTTGGCATATGGTATCAATGGTCACAATGATTAGCACTGCAAAACACAGCAAAAGCTCTTTGCTAAACTTTTTGCAGAACAAAGTTGCCAAGACAACCTCCTGCAGGGCTCAAGAAGGTCCCAAGCCCCACAGATGAAGTCTGGGAATAATGAAGCAAAATCATTAGCAATACCCTCCTTACCAGCTAAACCTGCTGAACGCCCGGGCATTCTATGTACCACAGGTATGCCAAGCATAAAGACCATCGTATTTGAAAAAAAAAACACTAACAGATCTGGATGGAATATTCATGAGACAGAAGCTCAAGCTCAAAAGGCATTTCACAGTAATCTCTGCAAAGACACACAACTCCATGGTGTTGGTTCAAAATGTCAAAACCAAAAAATGCTGAGACATAGGGCAAATCCAAATCCCTCTTGCCCAAATCAAGGTTGTCTGAGTCTGAACTCAGTTTAAACCGTCTAAACAGTTTCTATTTCACTTCCTAAGAGCTAAGATCATTCACTCAATACCAGTTTCTCACCTAGTTCATCTTCAGCCTTCACTAACTAGACTCAGTGGGCTCTCCCTTTGAAGAGCTACCTCCTCTTAGTAAGGCTCAGGAAAACATGATCATTAACCAAAATAAGGAGGCCAGATAACGAAAGAAGTGAAGAAATAAATAAAAAGGAACTTCTTCCATGGATTTTTTTCCCTCATATTTTTATATACATATATATAAATATATATATATTTTTATGTCAAACACTGTTCTAGGATCTGAGGATTATCAGTCAACAGAACAAGACAAAATAATGTTCTTATTGGAAACATCTTTATAATTTGCAAGGAAAGAAAGATGTCTATGCTCTAGAGCACCAGCTAGGGAGTGTGAGGTTATTACATCATTTGGTCCTGATATGCTGAAAAGAAATATAAATCCCATTCAGCTAAAAAAGTTTTCAGCTTTCTGCTAACCATCTCACGTAGGCTGCATCTTTAGTCATTCCCTTTAAACTAGCTTCCAAGAGTGCAGTTTCCTCAGCTTAAACTTGCTTCCCTCAACCCAAAAGTGCTGGGCACACGGCTGCAGAGCAGGCACACTTTTCTAAAACCCTGGAGAGCAAGCATGGTCAATGTGAGAGTTGAGGGCAATTTTAGGCCATCAATTCTCCGTCTCCTCCATGCATCAAAATAATCTCCAAGGGCTGCCCACCTTCCTGCTTGATATATAGGACTGGGGCTAGAGAAAAATAAAATGCCAGATGTCTCTAGTCATCATAGTTTGTATTTTAACCCCAATGTTGCATTCTAGGAAAACCTTCAATCTGCCTACCATTTATCTGATCCTGGCACTGGAGATGAGTGGTATGCTCTTCCCTTAAAGACTTTTAATTCCACACCTATCTACTAAGATCAAAGGAAGTAACCTCTAAATGAGGGAATTCAGCTTAAGCATGGGCTAACAGCAGTCCTGGAGGCTCTTTGAGACATCCCCTAATCTTCTGTATAAGTCAGGCCCTTTCCAGAACCCCAATGGGCCACAAGGGAGTTGGACAGAGTTCAGCCAAGAGTCATCAAGATGCCCTAGAGTTTAAAAACTGTCTATGATGCCAGGTTCCAAGAATTTTAGACTTTTACTTTTCCCTTTGGAAACTAAAGACTAACTAGATAACCTAAGAGACTACTTTAAGTATTAGTAAATAGCCCTTTTAATTAGGCGCCTGAGTAACACTTCGTCTTAATTCAGAAACTTCAAAAAAAGGAACACACCTCAAACTCTCAAGTCAGGAAGGTGATCTGCATAGAAGAGTTTTCATAGGATGGCAGTGTCTTTTCTTTTCCTGTGTCTAAAGCTCTCGATTCTAAAATGGGCATAAGTGGCCAGGTTTTATGTGATGCTTTCCTGAGGAGTGGAAGGCCCAAGATTTCTCAACGTAGCTGGTTGGGAAAAGGAGTGTGTATGTGTGTGTGTGTGTCTGTGTGTGTCTCTCTCTCTCTGACGAATTAGGGCAACTCTAACCTTCACCCCATAAAGTCTGAAATCTAGAAAGGCCCACACAATACGAACTGAGATTCGAATTTTAGCAAGAACCCAACGAAGCCCATTTCACAACATCAAGGAAAACTGACAAAAGCTTTCTCGTATCAGTAACAACAGGCCTTAAATTTGAAGGTCAGATGCGAAAAGCTGGGCCCGCCCTCTCCCTCAGGTCGTAGAAGATGCCAACCACCCGCCAGGCCGACCCGGCTCCAAACGGGCCGTCGTGAGCTTCCCTGAGCTAGCCAGGCCTTCCCCCACTCCGGCCTCCACCTAGGTCTCCGGGCTCCTAAGGCCTTCACGTGGCCCAAAGTCCACGCCCACCGGGCCCAGTTGGGGCGTCTGGCCCGCGGGGCCTGCACTCTCTGGGGACCAGAGGCCTACAGCGGGAGGCAGGCCGGATCGCAGGTGGGCGCCCCAAGGCCCCGCGGCTCCGCGCCGGCACTGTGGGCCCGCAGACTTCACTAGGCCCGGACGACTGTTCAAAAGGAGCCAATGAGGCCGGCTCGGGCCTGCATGACACAGCACGATCTGGCCCAGGCCCCGACCCAGGCCCAACGCAAGCCCCGCCTAGGGGGCGCGCGGGTGCGCAGCTGGGCCCAGCGGGGTCCG